ATATATATATATATATATATATATATATATATATATATATATATATATATATATATATAAATGCAGCTTCTTTGATATTTTGTTTCTAATGCATTGACATTCACATTAAGTTTGACTCAAATATCCAAATACTTTTTTGGGGACACAATATATATATATATAATGGCAGAGAAGATAAACAAACCCGAATTGCTGGGGGAGATCATATTTAGTTGTGTCTCGCGGCTCAAAAGTATTCATATTTTCAGAGCACACTTAGACTAAACCTGAATTACATTCATTAAAGATATCCTGCATTACATTCAACCCTATGTGTGTGTGTATGTGTATATATATATGAGTGTGCACTAAAGCTGATTATAGACTATTTAACTATTATTTAATAGTTAATAATATTATTTTCTTGATTTATTTAACCAAGAACATGTGACTGGGACAGGAATTTACATTTGATAATAATGGCAGAGAAGATAAACAAACCCGAATTGCTGGGGGAGATCATATTTAGTTGTGTCTCGCGGCTCAAAAGTATTCATATTTTCAGAGCACACTTACCTGAATTACATTCATTAAAGATATCCTGCATTACATTCAACCCTATGTGTGTGTGTATGTGTATATATATATGAGTGTGCACTAAAGCTGATTATAGATTCTTTTGCATTCCCCGTCTGCCCTCAATGCTACTTTCTCCTTTTTATTAAAGGCCAGAGAGATAGTGCTATGCAAAGAGAAAGACACATGTCTATGCATGCCAAAAGCAATCTTCTCCAAGCTCCCAGCGAGACCCGCTGTCTCTCTGCTGACCCAAAGTGCATCTCTCTGCCTGGGCCTGACAGCCAACCCACAGCAACACACCCTTCAGATCCAGAACTAACTCATTCTGCACATCAGAGACACTCAAAGACCGGGCTTATAATGTGAGAGATCTAGCTTTATCATGCTGCGGCACTTGCTTGCAAACTTATATTTATATTGCATTTAATTGGTGGAGCAAGCAGATTAATTCCCAAAAAAATGTATCGAGTCGTATTTCTACATGAATAATCGAGAAGCCAAACATCAAGATATGCAAATAATGGCATCACTGATTGGTGCAACAGCTTGGAGCATATTCAAACTGTGTGAAATGCACTTAGCAACAAAAAAATGTGATAACAACGGCAAAATGTGGAAAGCTTGACAGTGAAAACAGACCAAATGGACTGCTGCATCCAATTAAGAACTGTTATTGACTTTACACATGAATAAGAAGTATATAAGAAGTTTGCATGTGAAGTAGATGAGAAGTCAACATACTGGAAACATTCATAAATATCATGAATGCATTGACTTCAATGTTCAGGAAAATTAAAATATAGCATACATTATAAAAAAAACTGCAACATATTTTAAAACCAATTAAAATCAAGTACAATTTCACCTCATTTTCTAAAAGTGGCCCCCAAGTAATTAAGAGTATCCCTGCAGTACATTATCAGCTGGACTAAACAAAGACTGGCTTTAAACCATGTAAGGTCTAGATGTTAGGTTGGGAAATGGAAGAACATCAGCAAATATAATCATCAAATATAATGTTTTTCTGCTTCCACTACTAATGTCTCAACTCAACAGTGCTCAAGTGACATAAGATGAACAGGGAATTCTGGAAACAGGTTTCTAAAAATAGTTTCTCTATGTAAATATGGAAGGGTCGTGTGGAATCTGATTGGTTCCATCATCTCAACACATCCATCAACACGTCCGTCCAATGAAACAACTGTGACTGTATCCTGCAGCTTGGAGATGTGGAAAAATAACTACACACACTCTCACGACGTCTAAATGTGAAACTGTTATGTCTGTCTGACACTTTTCAGAGAGAGACGATCTTCTGAGACCATCTTCATCACCGCCTCCAAGATTCGGTTAATAAAAAATAACTACACACACTCTCACGACGTCTAAATGTGAAACTGTTATGTCTGTCTGACACTTTTCAGAGAGACGATCTTCTGAGACCATCTTCATCACCGCCTCCAAGATTCGGTTAATTGTGCCTCATAATAAAGCAATTAGGATGCAAAAGAAAATCAAACGACCTCTGTTTTACTGTCACCCGTCTTAACGCAAACTAATTATCTCCAAACACTCAGCAAAAGCTTCCGGCACTAGATGCACTGCAGACAGTTCATTATGACATGAAGACAGACAGATAGAAATATAAAACAATTAATAGACAGACAGGGTAAAATGAATCAATGTGACACGACAAATTACAGAAACCGACTGAACTGTAAGAGCCCCTCTGTTTAAAAACAGCACAGATGACAGATGGTGGAGCGTTTCTGCAGTGTGATTCTTCTCGCTCAGAGTTCAGAGTTTCGAAGGCCTGCAGTTCTAGATTTGGTGAGCGTGAACGAAACCCACTCACAGACAGGAAAAGTGTCCAGTCTTTACGGGCGGAGCCGCACAAGATTCAGGCTAACATCTTGAAACAAAATCTATGATCAAAACTGAGGTAAGCAGAGCTATTTACCTTTCCATAGTCGTCAAACTCAGCGAAGAGCTCCAAGTCGTCGTCTAAACTGTCTCCGGAAGTCTCCACAATCAGACCCACTCCATCGTCAAGAATCTCCTCTGTGAAACCACAATTCCTTTTTTTGATTTTCAGATAACTGCATTAAACCTTGCGATGTTTCTGGATGTTATATTAAAATGTTTTAGAGCTTATCTGTGCATTTCTTTTAATATTTTGGATATCATAATGCATTCAGCTATCAATAAGAGTGTAAAGTTAAACACTTTTTTAAAAAAAATTATAAAAACTCCCTTAGAAAGACAGAGCATGAACCCCGCTTGTTTATATTGTATAAAAGTGTTGCATTTTAAAGGGGTCCTATTATGCTTTTTCACTTTTTCAACTTTAGTTAGTCTGTAATGTTGCTGTTTGAGCATAAAAAAGATCTGCAAAGTTACAAAGCTCAAAGTCCAATTCAAAAGGAGATATTTTATTTAACAGAAATCACTTTTCAAAAACTACAACGAACGACTCGTTTGGACTACAACG